AAAAAGAGCTGCTCCAAAATCCATACTCTATGAAATCCACATAGCTCATGAGGAGAATGATAAAACTATAGATCATGGGCAATTATGCTCCAAAGAAAGGTTTTGAGCCTGCTACATCCACAAGTCCCTCTTGGAATAAAGGCATAAGCAGAATAGAACACCATAGGTCAGTTGCTTAATCATGCTGCCGTATTTTCATAAATAAGATTCATAAAAACAGAATGCTGTAATCAGCAATGTCTCATGAAAAGTGTTATGACTGCTAATGCTTAGATTCAAGAAACCTGAATTCTTTACCAGGCTATAGGCTGTGAGTGTTTCACAGAAAGAGAAGATGGGGCAAGACTTGGAGAAAGATAGCCCTCCATCATGAAGTGATATAATTTATGGTGACATTTATATGGTGGCATACATATGATGTCATCTAGTGCTCCTGGAAGAGACTCTTATCAGAGTTTTTCTTCTCATCACCCTTTAGTGTTCTCAGATAAGAAAGATGCGCACAAAGCTCTGTAGAGCTGGGAATATGAATCTTTTCTCATTATGAGATGAACACCCAATATCCATGTTGATATGCTCATGTAGAAAGAAACCATTGCAAATCCTAAGGAAAAGTTTTTACAAATCTTCCTGCATGCCTTCACTCTCAAATCAGCAAGCGTGGGATAGATTCATTCACAATATTTTGACACGAGGCAGGAATTAAACTCCAAAATGGTGTCCTTATGGAAACCCAACAAACGCTGTTAACAAAGTATGAGGATAACATGCTAGAAAGGTCTCCTTCCGCTGGTCTGTCATGACCAACTCTGGGCTCCGAGTCAAAACACTGCCTTCCCCTTAAATTTCTCTCTAAATAACCAACTATGAGAAGCCCAAGACAAACAGGTAGAGTCAGGTTTTCAGTACTTCTTTTTGAGGTCTTCCAGTCTGAAATATTTTCAAGTGACGTATTTGTCTTTTAAGTCATGAGACTCGCCTCACCTAATAATCATGTTAATTAGCTAATAGCTTCCTTCAAGCTACTCTTTAAAAATAAGTCAAATAAGGCCGACTGGGTGGCTCAGTCGGTTAAGCGGCTGCCTTCGGCTCAGGTCATGATTCCAGGTTCCTGAGATCGAGCCCCCATCAGGCTCCCTGCTCAGCAGAGAACCTGCTTCTCCCTTTCCCTCTGCCTGCCGTTCTGCCTACTTGTGCTCTCTCTCTATCTCTCTTCAAATAAATAAATAAAATCTTAAAAAAATAAGTCAAATAAAATCAGAGAATATGGTTAAAATATCAAAATAGAGAATACAGTTGCCTGCATCCACACTTATTTCCAAAGGGAGAAGATATTTGTAAAGGTGAGTCCTAATTCTGATATACTGATGAGTTCAAAATCCTCATGCACAATATGAACTGTGAGAATGATAGCTAGCATGTATTAAGAACATGATATATGCCAAGTATTGTTCTAAAACTCTTGTACGTATTAGCTCATTTCATCCTCATCATAACTCTGTGGATGGTACCATCTTTACACCCTTTTTACCTATGAAACAATGCGACCTGATTTACTTAAAGTCTCAAGCCAAGACAGTCTGGTTTGAGAGCTGATGCCCTCCCCCGGTAAAAAACTATTTTAAAAAAATTATTCTGTTATGCTATTCTTAACACTGTGGGGAGGCAGGGGACTATCTTAAGAAATTTGTTTTTCCATGAGAAGGGTTTTAGATTATCTGTGAATTCTAGAACTATAGCTCGATTCCATTTGGAGGTAACTCGAGCGCTCTGCACATGCTTGCTTTGGGAGCGTCCACGTTTATAAACAAGCCCGCACTGGAATTCAGCCTGACTTTTGAGTTGGTCCGTGGAAAATGCAAGTATGTAATACAGTCAGACTTCATTTGGGCCATCCTTTAGCTGCTTAGGTACACTGGCAATGAAAGAGCTGAAGCCATAAACTTGGCAGCGACTTCAAAATATCCAGTTGGTCCTGGAATGTCAACATGCTCATTATGTACATTTATTGCTCCTCACTGTCCAAATCTACCCTGAGTCTCCAATCAAGAAGAAGGACTGATAGGAACACTGTTAATATGACGTGACTGGGGACAATACAGAGTGACATGACCCGAGGTGATGAAGGGAACACTTATGTATGGTTCCCCGACCATCCCCTCCCTGTCCCTGCCACACATCCCGATGCATATCACATCCTTGCCTTGGCAGTCACAGACAGAAAAGCCCAAAGATATTTACGAAGCTGCATCCGTCAACAACACCAATGGTCCACCCGAAATGCTGTCGGCATGCAGACTGACTCATCCCTGCTGTCCGTATGTACTACGTCCCCTTGCCTTCGGTTCTAGCTGTGCTTCGCGGGGCCAGTGGGGCATGGTCCCAGAGCCCCCACGCCTTTCCCAAAGACCTAGGGATGCGGGGCTGGAAAGAAGAGAGTCGTCGAGTTCACATTTGTCCCATTAAGAGGGAAAGGCAGCAAAGGGAGGAATCTAGGACCAGGACAGAGAGGAAGAAAACATTAAAAATCAACAAAATCTATACATCTGTGGTTGCTTCGGCAACCTTCCAAAACAGTGCAAGGATACCCGTTCCTGGCCCCATAACACGAAGGCTAAAGTAGCTACTTTGTTTCATATTCAGAACCATAGTTTATCCTTCATATATGCCTGAATTTACAGCAAATACATGGGACTATAGCTGAACAATATGCTCATGTCCTAAGTGTACGGAATTCTCCAATACACCACTGTCTCCAGAGAGTAATTCCATAATTTCCTATTTGAATTTTTGATTGACCTAGATGCTAGGGAAATGTCTTACAACTTCTGAAAATATTTTCTCTCCATTAAAGAGGAATCACTGTCTCTCTTCTTCAGAAAACATCCTGCACATACCGATTTAAATCTTGCACCCAAAACTCATGGGCCAAAATGGCATATTCAACACGAACACCAAACGGCACATGATTTCATTTTTCTTTGAGATTGAGAAGCTTATTTTGAGATCTCTCTGAACCTGGGGCATTTCATTGTGATTTTAACTTGTATGGCATAAAAGAAGGGTAAACATAGCAGCTGGTACATGAGCTGAGATGGTGTGCCAGTAGGCAGAGTCTGTCCGGGCAGTTTGGGGAAGGTATTCCCAAAGATCTTCTCACTTCAGGAGTGGGGGAAAAAAAAAAAAGGTACACAGTACAAACTCTTTCACCTAAGGTAGTCAACCCCCAAACAGGGAGAGTTTTCACTTACCATCCACCACTATTTGCCTCATCTACACTAAAAAAAAAATAGAAAACCAAGAACACGGCCAACCTGAATTTTAAATCCCATGGTGGTAATCTGGGATAAGACAAGGTTTCTTTGAGGCTGATGAATGAGAATTTTTTTTTCTCCTTAAAAAGAAAATCATTCCTGTCTTTTAGGAGAGAGATAAAGGCAAAAGACACATAAAGTAATGAGCTTAAAATGGATTGTCACTTCTTAAAAAAAAATGCGCTAGGTCAATGGGTTTTTTCTGTAGAACTAGTTACGTGAAATTCGGTTATAGATGAATAAAGAAACCAGAGAGATAAGGATATCACATTAATGAAAAAAGAATTCTTAAATCCCTGTCCCTTTTGATGTTTCCCTTGACAATTAGTATTCCCGTCCTCACCAGATGATATAAAACTCTAGGCAAATTTCCAAAGGAAGTAAGCAATAAGATATGTTTTGAGGGAAAGAAAGAGTGAAGGAGGAAAAAAAAGAAGAGAGACTACGGGAATTGAGAAAGTAAAGAAGAAAGTAGAAGAAGAGCTTCTGGGACCTCAAATAAGTATGGCATTAATTTTTTTCCCACCAAGTCTTAGTCTTGGCAGGCTTCTGCTAAAATGCAGGAATTTCATGGATGTGGGAACTGGTGATGGAAAATGCATTATTATACACAACAATCGTTGTACTTGAGAGGAACTATATGGGAAAAAATAACACCCTAGAATAAATACAAATGAAATTCATGTATCAAAACCAATACTGTGAAAATAGTTTAAATGTTTCTTGAATTTATATCTAGTCATTAACCTAAATGCAGATTTTAGTTCGAGCTACACTTCTGCCTCATGGTCAGAAGGCCTGAAAACCCGTGGCGTGGAAAATTGGCAGGATAAAGAATATTGAATTGGTCTCCATGGAAAAACAGGTTTTGGCAGCTATAACCTCCTCCTTGAATGGGTCCCCCCGCCCAAGTCAAATTCTCCTCCCTATTTCACTCTGGTCCCAGGAAAGAGACCAAGGGAAGACCACATATTAGTTTAGCAGCAAGCAGATAGGTGTCAACTTGGCCAATCACCAGAGGACCTTCCTCATGGCCTTGAATCCCATGGTTGGCGTGAGCCGCCCCTCCCCCCAAGTCCCAAACCTAGACTCCCCCTCTGATATCACAGAGGCTGGAGGTTTCCATTTCTACTGACTTTGTTTCCTTCTTCCTTGGAGAAGAAAGTGGGGTGAGGCACCTGCCTTATGCCATGACCTTGCCTTACGCCATGACGCAATTCACAAATGAAACTGATCAATTCATTTGCAGAAATCCTTAACATTTTCTGCCCCCCTCCACTCCTACTCCCAACCTATTTGCATCCACATTCGGTCTGCTCACCTCAGGGAAAGGAGACATCTCCCCAGAGTTTTATTTAGGCTAGAGGGCAGAATCAGGGATTCTCCAAAATCGTTCATCCACCTGGTAAGACCCTAACGGCCCCACACAACCCGGGGGCCCACCTCACTCTCTCCTGGGGCTCCACCAAGCAGCCCAGGGTTAGTGGAGCCTATTTTCTTCCCAGCCTCATGTCCAGCCTCCCCAAGAGCCCACGGCTTGCTCAGCAGGCTCCCTCCAGTGGGTTCGGGGCCCTTTGCATGAGCCAATTGGAGGGAGCACGTCCTTCCCCCACATGAATGTTGTATCAGTGTGGTCTGCCTGTGCCTCTCTTGGTGGTTTCACCCTGATCTTTTCTCTCTTTGCAGCTGGTTAATAATCCACTAGCAAGTCAGGCTGCCGCAACAGGAGTCATGGGCTCTGTAGCAAGCTCACAGGCCTTTGGCAATGCTCTCTCCAGTCTTCAGGGGGTCACGGGTCAACTAGTTACTAATGCACAAGGACAGGTGAGTGGGAGACGGGAACAAGAGTGAATTTTTATGGCAGATTGAACTCGGAAAGGAAATGAATTTCTTTTGCATGACAGTGATATGTAACCGCATCCATTCGAGGCAAATAAATAATGTTTACTAGAAATGTCAAGAATAGGAGAAGGGTTGGGAGGTGTTTCTCTCTTTTAGAAGCAAGATTTTTTTTCCTTCCCCTGGAATGGCTAAGTTTTATTTTGTTTTTATTTCTGTACAATGGCTCGTGTTCTGACCTTAACTGAAGGGAATACTTTTCACAACGGGCATTCTTTTTCTTTTTTCTTTTTTTTTTTAAAAAAAGGTTAATTTTAAAAGTAAGATTTCAGTTCTGCTCTTTGATTTATTCATTCTTTATAAACTTGGACAATGGGGGAAACTGGGAAGTTTCCTTCCCTAGTTGCTCTAAGATTTCTACAGTAGCCCTAAGCAAGCCAATTTCTCAATGTGTGGGGACTTGATGGGAGAGACCAGGGCAGTCTTGAGAGAGCAGGAAAGGGAAGGGGTGAGGGCCTCTTGCTGATTCTCCTGGAAGCTTGGCTGGTTCTGGTATGTCTGCAGGTTTACTTCAGTCAGCCGGGGCCAGCAAACCTTCCTCATGTCATGGGCAGCGTGCCTGTTCCCTTACACCCCTCATGTGCCTGCGTCACGGCCCCCAGGACACTGACGGAGCCTCAGATGAGGGGGGCTCCCCCTTTAAGACCCCAGTAAACCTAAAAGCTGCATGAAAAGCAAATCAGAGTTAAAGCTGAGGGTATCAGAAGTGCCCTCCATTCAAAGGCTTGACACTGTTCCTCAGTGGCTAGGGCACCTCGACCTCAAGTGTGGCCATTTCTGAGGACGAAGCACAAGGCAAAAGGAGCTTGCACCCTCTCCAGGATTTTCCCTCCCAGGCTTACTTACTCAGCAGTGAGTTTACAGATCCCTGCTTGGCCTGCTCTGTGGAGAACAGGAATTGCAACGTCTTGAACCCTGTTTTTATTTTACATAAAGAGTAAACAGAGATGCATTATAAGCTAAACCGTCTCAATCTACGTCCCAGGGAAAAAAAGCTGACCTTGTTATATTTCCTGGGCGGGTGCAGGATTGTCCCATCAGAACCCCGAGGGCTGAACGATGGAGCTTGTCAAAGAGCAGCCCCAGGTAATGAATCATCTTATCACAGGTGCACACTACACATATTAAAGGAGGGTTGTATGAACACTGTGCCCTCCACAGTCACCTCTCAATGTCGGCTTTAACCCTTGTTCCAATCCCTTTTCATCAAAGGATCATTTTATGCAGCCGGCTCTAAATGGAGGCTCTCAAAAGCCTATTAAGATTTCTGGAGCGACGGGGTTTTGGCATGGAGGAAAAGTTGGTTATAATATCTATAACTCATACTCAGTCGGTCCTAGAAGCTCCCTCCCAGAGTTCTGCCCAAAATAGAACAACCCGATTCATTCCTGCCGGCAGCTGGCCCTTGAGATGTAAATTTTAAGAGTTCAAGATAGAAAGCATATCCGCTGATGTGTAGTTCCCCCTGATTTTTCTGGTTCCAGTGTCCAAGGAAAATGTACCACTCTGCCCCACCACTTAAGAGTTTGTGATGGAGAAAATTCTTTATCGCTGAGAAGGAATTATTAGGAGTTTATTCTTCCGGTGATTTAATGGCAGATCATCTTGCCAGTTACAAATCCATCTCCTTCTCAGGGGCTAGAGTTAAGCCTTTATGCTCTGTTTGGCCTTTGCCAGCCCCACCCCCAGGGATAGCTCTCCCGGCCCTTGAGTACCCACAGGAAAATGAGCTTCCGATTAAAAGCTTGATTGACGCTCTGCATATATTGAATAAGAGTTGATTTTAATTTTAAAATTCTTTTGCTTTAGAAACTGTGCTATGATAGTTGATTTGATAAGGTACACAAACCTCCTAAAGTGAAAAAAAAAATTATATCACAGAGGAATCGATATTGCCCACTCGTGAAGTCTTGTCTGAGAGTTCTAGAAACATGCCCAATGGCATCAGGTACTCCTCCTAGTGCTGGGGAAGACTGAGGTACTAATGTTTCCAAGGTCGATGAACTGGCCACATTCCTGTAGTATTGTGTGTTGAGGGGGGGGATGTTTTAAATCTTTGTAATATAAACACAATCATCTTCCCAGAAAAAAGTGCATGCCTTATACCTCTTGGCACAAAGATACTTGTGTGAACGTTATGAAGTGGCCAGATTACACCAAAAAGACGGGCAAAAATTATTTGGGGTGTGTGTGTGTGTGTGTGTGTGTTCCTTAGGCTTGTATTAATGTGGTACAAAAAATAAGCCTACATTGGAATCAGGTTAATATAATTAGCCTTGCTCAAAAACCCGTGTAAAATTACTTTATCCAGCCCATTTTCAATTCCTTAAAAAATCTCCAGAGCTTTCCCAGAAAAGGTACAAAGAGAAAACTCTTAATATATTTATAGATCCTTCCATTTGAGTTCATGACATCAACTATTTTTTTGCATTTGGAAGTCTGCCCAGAAGTCATAACATTAAAATCTACACCTAGGTTTGGAAAGCATGTTTTACTCTGCTGATACTTTGGGGAAGTCGGGCTGCAGAGGAGGCACTGGTGGGGGTCCCCTGATTCTTGCTCCCCACTGCTAAGATTCCCTCTCTTGCCTACTTGGAAACCAAGATGGGTTTACCCAGGAAAAGAGCTCTGACTAAATTCAGACCTGCCTGGGATAGGGTTCAAGCTTGACATATTTCTAATTTTGTTTTGGTTTTTTTGTTTTTTTTTTTTTTAAAGATTTTATTTATTTATTTGAGAGAGAGAGAAAGAGCACAAGAGGGGGGAGCGGGAGAGGGAGAAGCAGGCTTCCTGCTGAGCAGGGAGCCCAACACGGGGCTCGACCCCAGGACCCCGGGATCATGACCTGAGCTGAAGGCAGATGCTTAACGACTGAGCTACCCAGGCGCCCCTCTAATTTTAGACCTTGGGGCAATCAGTGACTTAATCTTCCTAAACCAGAGCCTCATCCTCGAAAGTTTAAGGTAACCTCTGTGAGGAGGCCCCGGCCAGTGGCTCATGGTCTCCAGGCAAGGGGCTCTAGGTCTTCCTACACAATGAGACAGATGCCCACCCCACATGGGGAGGGAGACATGCCCCAACCTCAACAGGAAGAAAGTCCCCCCTGATCTGGGACTTGCAGTTTTGTTTCCTTGTCTTGGAATCTGATTGTTTCCATTTGCTGGATTTCAGTAAATTTAAAGGGATGGGAAATCTCCATATATTTAAGGCTTTTTTTTCTGTTCTTTTTTTTTTCCTAACCAGTTCAGTCATTCTTTTACCTTTCTACATCTGCCATTCATTTGTGGTTAATTCAAAAGCCAAACACTATTCCGAAGAGTGATGTGTTTTCATAGAAATACTATATTCTAAAGTCACAAAGCACATATCTTACCCCAGGACTGTTAAAGTTTTTAAAAATGATATCATACCCAACTTCACTCTGAGGTGGCAAGGTAGCAAGTGTCCTCTTGGTAATTTGTGATCATGAAATTTATAATGATTATCACAGTGCTGAGAAACACATTCTAATTCCCCTTGCTTACCAAATCAGGAACATGATCGTAGGAGTGCAGAAGCCAGACAAAGGAATAAGCACTAGCTAGACATGTGTTTGAATCCCAGCTAGCTCTGTGACCTCAAGCAAATGACTTGAGCTCTCTGAGTTTTGGTTTCACTATGAAATAAGGATAATAAAATCTAAGTCCCTAGATTATGAAGATGAAGTGAGGTAAGGTGTGTAAAAAGCCCACCATCGTGCTTGAGTGTATAGTTAGAGACTCAGTAGTAATAAGCGGCTGCAAAAATCATCATCATCATCATCATCATCGTCGTCGTCATCATCATCATCATGGTTTACAGTTTGGTCTGGCATTTCTGGAAACCTGTCCTTGGTTTGGATGTATAGCAAGAGGCAGTAGAGCGTACAGGCAAAAAGAATGGGCTCTGGAACCAGGCAGCCATTCATCAGCTGTGAGAACTCTGGCAATTGACTTCCCTCTCTCATACCTTAATTTCCTCATCTGAAAAATGGGGATAAGGGAGTCCTGCGTGGCTACATCGGTTAAATGTCTACCTTCGTCTCAGTTCATGATCCTAGGGTCCTGGGATGGAGTCATGTCAGGCTCCTTGCTCAGCGAGGAGTCTGCTTCTCCCTCTGCTCCTGCCCCAACTCATGCCCTCTCTCTCTCTCTGTCTCTCAAATAAATAAATAAAGAATCTTAAAAAAGAAAAATAGGGATAAAAAAGGGAACCAGCTTCTAGGATTAAAGAGCTCAGCGTGGAGTCAGGCACATAGTCATCGTTCAATAATGCTAGCATTCCGTATATGCTGTTATTACTAATTAAGGTGCTGTGTGTTTCCAGTTCACACTGTGCACACAAACCCACTGTGTGTGTGAGGAGTTTGAGAATGTGAGAATCTTAGCAGTAGAACACTAAGTTATTTTAGGGAAATCCTATCCTTACCCCGGATAGTGCAGTAGGGGTGTGTGTGTGTGTGTGTGTGTGTGTGTGTTCTTAACACTCCTTCAGTGGGTATGCTCAGCGTTTGGCAAGTAGATTTACCATCGATTTGTTCAGCTATAGAACTGGATTCCCTATTGCTCCTGGCAATATCTCCTTATTGGCATTATTGCAGAAAAGTAAAAGCAAATGAAATTTCATTTTATCCTGGGGCTAAGGAAAGCATTTTACATTTTAACTGAAGCTCACAATGTTTCCTGATGAAATTAGTTCTCCACCGCTGTGAAATTTTCTTAAGTGGCAACAAGTCAAACCAAAGTCCTTCCCTCCCATCCTTAAAGAGCTAGTCAAATAAAAAAAAAAAATCAACTGAACAACATTACTTTTTTTATTTTTTATTTTTTTAAAGATTTTTATTTATTTATTTGAGAGAGAGAGAACATAAGCAGGGAGAGTCGGAGAAGGAGAAGCGGGCTTCCCGC